AATCTAATCGTTTTATATAAATTAGGGTTTTAGCAATCAACTATCAAGATTCAAGTATTTAAGTTTCTGTCAAAAAAAGGAGACATTCTAAATCAACAATAATATCAAAAATATGAAATCAACATATTAAAAATTCTAAGCACGCCAAACTTCTAATTTTTTTTATAAATTTTCTAATAAAAAATGAGAGAGCAATTGAACAAACTAGTTTATTATAGTAAATTGAGCCCAAAACAATCTGACCCTTGAATTTTGATCACTATCAATTAATTGATGGGTTATTGAACTACAAGAGATTAGAGAATAAAGAGCTTTAGTGTTCTTTTTTTGTTCAAATTCAGACTTAACACTTCACACAAAGAGAGAGAGACAGACATACAGACAGAGAGAGGGCATGAGGGAATAACGTTAAACAGACACTGTGGTTTGTGAGTGAATCCCTTACTCATAGCATTGATAAATTTGTGCAAGAAAGACGGAGTGATGTCGGGACATTTGCTTAATTCCTTCACAGATGTGAGAGAGAGAAAGAGTCATCTACCTTTGTTGTTTCAAAAGTCTAGCAATCTACTATAGCTGGTAATTAAAGCAATTTTCTAGGTAAATTATTGAAGTGTTAATAGACCTATTAATAAAATTCGGACCCTCTCAAATCAACTCATTCAAAATACATATATCCATAACTAAAACTCTTAACAGAGACCCCAAAATTTTACAAAAATTGGGAGCCCTAGGCGGCCAACTAAGTGGCCTAGGCCTAGGGCCGACCCTATCTCTAGTATATGATTTTCTTTTATTTTTGAAGCTTGTCTTGAAACTAGAATGATAATTGCTAAAAGATTGAACAATGGCCATAATGTTGTGATCCTTAAATATTAACAAGGTTTCCAAATGTTATTGTGACACTAGGGGGATGTACCATATCTGTCTCTAGCATTCACGAGGGCCCCTTGAATTATTTGCTATGGGCGACACAAACCACAATTTAGACTAGTCTGGATAATTTTAAGTATGAGCTATAAACACGAGACAAAATCGATAAAAAAATGAGTAAATTTGAATTTAATTTTAGTAGCACCGAATTATAAGTGAGTGGACTTGTGAGTAAGACCTGCATAACAAAAGTATTGACATAAATTTGACTAAAACATAAAACAAACTCGACTGAACACTGCTTGATAACAAGACAAATTCAATTATAACACCATAACTTGATCAAGTATGATGACCAACGGTTTCCACGAAATGATTTAGATAGGATACAAATCCAACACTACACAACCTGTAACTCGACTCAACTCAATTCAACTCAACAATCCTAATTAAACTGAAAATTTTGATTGGGTAGGGAGTTGAATGAAATATATATAAAAGTAATTACAAAGATATCCTGTAAAATTTCGAGTGAAGCAATAATCTAGACTGAACTGTTGTATCTGGGTGACAATACGTTACTACTTTTTACACTGTGTTTCTTACATAAATAGGCATGAATTATTTTAAGAAAGCAACGTAGTCTGTGCCTTACCCTACCGTTCACTTTATCTTTTTGAATTCATATTTCCAATGACCTATAGCTCCAATCAACTAAACTCAACAATTTTAATTGAACTGAAAATTTTGATTGGGTAAGAGTTGGATGAGGGATTTATAAAAGTGATTAGGAAGAGGACATTTTGGCTGCTTGCAATGGAATTTTATAGGGAAAAAGGGAGAGAGATGGGGGCATCCCTGCACATGGGTCTTGGTCAGATATGGAGAATACAAAAATGTTAAAACCATAGAAGTATAACAACTAAAAATTTTCTATAATTGGGGAGCAAAGGCATCTTTGTAAAGACCCAACTACCTCTAGAGAATGTGTTGGTTGATTAAACCTTTTTCCTAACCCAGCATGTGGTGGGTTCGGAATATTGGCTTTCCACTTCGTGCACTAAAAGCATCCCACAAGGCCACCACTATGGCTGCTCTCTTTCCTTCCAACCTTGCCGCGATACCCCTTATCTTGAAGCAATATGCCTCATCTCGACTCCAAGGGCCTGTTTGTTTATTGGGTTAAGGGGTTTGAAATGGGGGTGTAACCATTGTGAGTGATAATGTTGAAGTGATTCAGCTGAGCTCAAGTGAAGGAGTCCTCCCTTGGGAAATCAGCCCCCTTGTTGAAGACATCAAGGCTATTGTAAGATAATTTAAAGTTTTTACACAAGTCTGAAGCTTATAACAAGACAGCTCACTGAGTGATGACATCAATTATGTCTCATACTCTATCATTGAGTTGGGTCAACTGTCCACCACCAGAGCTCATGACTTTTCTCTTATCAGATTACAACTGCTTATTTTCATGTTGAATGAAAATGGAGAATTTCTTGATTAAAAGAAAAAAAAATGGGGGTGTAAGAAAAATAGTTCCATAGATTTTATTACTTCACCATTGTTTTACACAATAATAATAATAGATCGTTTAATGTGAAATCAACGATCCGAATAATTTCTTGACATAGTATGTACCTTCGGTACCGTAGTCAATTAATATGATCAAGAACACCATAGTAGTACATATGAGCCAAATATTTTTTTTTTGTTCAACGGTTAAAAATATTCGAATCAATTTACGCGTATTTTAACTAACTTTTTCTTCGGTACAATTAAAAACAAGTCATTTATGCTATACATGACCCCAAAAAATTGCCAAATTACCATTACACAAACACATCGAAAGTGACTAATATTTTACTAACACACTCAACATGGTATCTCTAAGTACAGATTTCTAGTTTAGTGTTAGCTACTAAACCGGTGGTTAAGATTTCTATTCCTTATTCTGCATCTCCTTAGGGAATAAAATCATCAAATCAATCTTCAGAATCTGAATTTAATGTAATCCAAGCTCATATGGATTTATAAAATTGAAAGACATCTATATTCCTCTCTGCTTGCTTTATATTCTTCCCCGAAAAATCCTCATTTTATTTTTAATATAGGTCTTAGTTCAATAATAAATTGTTCAATTGCAATTTAAACGTTTCTAATTACAACAATGCACTCATTGTATATGAGATAAGACTGTGTGTATTTCACTTTCGCCGTATCTCCACAACGAGTGAGACTTTCGTGGATTGGCTATCTTTATTCTTATTTTTCCGTTGTATGCCCCTTTTCACTGAAAAGTTGTATGTAATTTGAAAATTACTAGAAATTCCAAATGATATACTAAATAAACAAGAATAATTAATTAGATGAGTGAGTTCTATTAATTATTTTTTAATGGAACCCACTAATGCAATGATTTTTATTAAGAGTGTCAATTTTGATCCGTTGATACGAACCCGACACAGAACTTGATACGAATGATTATAAAATTAACACAATTATTAAACACGCATAATAAATAGTTTACACTAATATTTAATATTCAAAACACACTAAATAAATTTTTTTCCGTAGATCTTGACACGAGCGCGATATGGATAACAATAGCACGAGACGAATAAAACATCATGTTTGACACTCCTAATTTTTATTGATTTGAAATATCATTTTTAGGAGCCCTAACATTGATCAAGCAATTTTATGGAAGTACAAACCCTTGTATGGAAAGGGTGAATGGATTCTTTTATTTTTCTGTGAAAATCAATAGACAATTGTTGCTTCCTTCTGATGGGACTGCACCCCCAATTGCCAAACTGTTTTCCCACATTTACATTTTGCATCCATGGTCCATTGCATCAAAACTAATTCCCCTACCGGAAGAAGAGTCATGTTACTTGGAAAAAACAAAACAAAACAAAACAATGTTCCATAAACATCGTACTGATTGGTAACTATCTAGATTGGACTATGTCACACACCCGGAGGAGGGCCACAAATTGTGCCGCACATGAACTGGCAAACTGAGGAATGGCAATGAATTACTCAAGAAACCTGTCGGCGGACGCAATTCCACAAGCAGTAAGGATCACTGTGCAAGCTGACATTAAAGATCGCGGTGAAGCATAGGCCAGGAACTTAACTTTATTTGTATTTAATTTTCTCTATTTTTGTACTAATTTTTTTGTCCAACAAAAAAAAATATTTAATTTTACAACAGCTTATATAATATTATTTACAAAATTAAAAAATATTTATTTTATATTAATAATACTTGCCAAATACTTATTTTCTATTAATAATACCGACTAATCGTGTTATTTATATCTAATTTAAATATGATTCATTTATCACTCATATCAACTAAACTTGTTGTTTTTGAGTCTTGGGTTGAATCCAATTCTAAAAATTACCACTCTTATGCTCTGTTTGATAAAAAAGAAAGAAAGCAGGAATGATATATTTTCTATCGTTTAAGGAAGGAAAGTAAGAATGATACATTTTACTTTCTTTATGTTTGGTGGGATGGATGAAAAATAAAAATAATTAATTTTTTTTTTGTTGGTTAAGATTAGGGGTGACAATCTAGTCGTGTTGTATTAAGTTCGTGTTGAATCATTGTCGGTTTATGTCGAACATTAATCAAATCTAACTCAACTCATTTAACTAATTGTGTAGTGTCGAATTGATCTGTTTATTTTTGTGTCGTGTTCATGTCGAGTTGTAATCAAGTTCGTGTCGTCGTGTTAAGTTAAAAAATTTCAACCCTAACTAAGATGGAAAAAAAATTTTATTTAAAAATTAAATTTTATTTTAATTTTAAAATTGTTTTAAAATATAATATAAATACATATTTTATCATTATATTTATATATGAAATTAATTTGTATATAATATATGTAAAATATATAGACAAATAAAGTACTTCTCATCACAAATAATTAATTTTTTATTTACTTTCCTTTCGATTTTAGAAAAATTAATTTTAATAAATTGAAAGGAAAGTGAATTTATCTATTTTGTTATCCTTCACATTTTTTTTTATTAAATAAAATATTTTATTTATCCCCTAACTTTTTATCCTTTCAATTCTACCTTATTCTATTTTTCCCGTGGCACATTAAAGTCAGCAAATGTTGTCGAAATCTCGTACGGCGCCGATGCTACAAACATCTGGTAATTATTTTCAAAACGCAGGGCAATATCTAATTCCCAACCTTATAAAATCCCTCTTCGTTTCTCACCATCCAAACCCCTCACTTTCTCCATACAAAACAAACATTCCAAGACTTCAAAACAACACAACACTCATCAAAGAATATTTTCTCTTACTTTCCTCCACTTTCTCGAGAAAATGTCAGCCTGCAGCAAGATCCGCCACATTGTCAGAATCGGCCAAATGCTGCGGCGGTGGCGTAAGAAGGCGGCGATGAATGCACGCCGCATACCCTCCGACGTACCCGCCGGACACGTGGCAGTCACCGTCGGCACCAATTGTAGAAGATTCGTGGTTCGCGCAACGTACCTGAACCACCCCGTGTTCAAGAAACTACTGGTTCAGGCGGAAGAGGAGTATGGGTTCACTAACACAGGCCCATTAGTCATCCCTTGTGACGAGTCAGTCTTCGAAGAGATACTCCGGTTCTTGTCACGGTCCGAGTCAAGCAACTCAGCTCGGTTCATGAATCTTGAAGACTTCCACAGGCACTGCCATGTCGGTTTACGAAGCAATCTTGAGTTCTGGCCTGAGTCTCGTCCTCTTCTTGGTGGGTTTACCGATAAATCCATCTGTTAATCAACCGATATACTTGCAAGAAAATTAATTAACCATTGTTGACTCGTCCGCGTTACTTCGCCTGCACAGAAAAGACAGCAATGACTCATCTGAGCCACCGAGTTGGGTGTACTAATTCTGAAGGCGCAGTTACTTTCTTACTCACCAACGGGGAAGCGGAGTTGGTGGGTATGTGTAAAATTAATTTTATTTTTTTCTTATTAATAATGTAATATTGCAATGTCCTGGGGGTGTCGTGAGTAGTACTGAGTCGCATATGCGGTTTTTACACGGGTGAATGTAAAGGAGATGGCAAGTAGGTGGGGCGAATTTCCACCCAGTCGTCCCCGAGTTCAAATTTGAGGGATTATGACTTTGCAAATTGAATGGGAGGTACAAGAAAAGAAGCGACTATATTACAGCATTTTTTGTACATTCTGTAATTTTTTATCCATTTTATTAATGGAAATTGTAAAGAATTTCAAGAATGATTTTCCATTTTCTCCGCTTTCATGATTTTTCTTTTATTTTAGTGAAAATTATCACTTTAATTTTATGTTTGTGTATGATAATCATTGTAACGTGGTAGCTGTTGGGGGAAGTCATTATGGCAACAACCCACTCTACATTTGTTCTGTACTATTTGATTCTTTATCTGCGTACAAGCATGAATATAAAAAGAATGCTACTCTCTCTCTCTCTCTCTCTCTCTCTCTCTCTCTCTCTCTCTCTCCACAATTAATGGGTTTTAAAATTTATAAATTTAGATGTTTTGATTTCGAATCTTGACAATTTTTAAGAATAGATCATCCAAAATTTATCTTTCATAAATTCATTAATTTTAACATGATGACATGTTTTTGACCGATGAATGTAAACTAACTCGCACAAATCTAACCGTTAAAACAAAATAAAAAAGAATTAGAACAATATTTCATGCCAGTGAAGCTGGATGGATGGATATACAGAAGAGACTAGGAAGGTACTAAATTCTTCTGCTAAAAGCCTGAAATGCAATTTCGGTTCATCGCATATGAAGGACAACCTTCAATTTGTTGCAATGACTAGGTTCTAACAAAGTAGAACATACCAAACATGAAACACTTTGATGCCTAACTTCTTGGCACTGGGTGTCACAATCAATTCATTCTAAAAAGCTGATGAGTCTTTTTTTTCCCTTCAACGATGTAGAAAGAAAAGGTTCATATACATGTCACATATAAAACAAAGGCTTTCATATCCAGTCTTGATCACTCTATAGAGAAAACACTCATCTTGATTTAAATTCGGTTAAAATAAAATTTAGACATTATAACACCAAAAAGAAAGGGGGAGGGGTAATCAATAGGTACTAATTTCCTCTGAGCGTGACCATAAGAGCCTCCTATTAAAAAATATCCGGTTTGAGCTATAGCTCCTAACTTTGAAAGTCAACTCATCACCAAACACCACTAAAGTCAATCAAAAAATCACATTGCTCTTATAAATCGAACTCTACTTGATAATCATATTAGAGTTAACGATAATTCTAAATAAGCATGGCTTACCAATTGACCACCAGCACTGGTGGTATGTTTAGATACAAAATTGAAAACTATCTGTATAGGCTTACAAGCCCAATGCCTTGGGTGTCACAATTTTCACACCTCAACCCAACCAGAGCCTATGGCCCTATGTACTTCCTGGGGCCTAAAACATGAACCAGTGCTCTGGCCCTCGAGCCGAAAGATGATTAGCGAGGGTTCCAATCTGGCCTTTATTTTGAAATTAGGTTTTCAAAAAGTTTTAGCACACTTTGTCACGGATTTAAATTTGCTTCAATTCAATTCTATGATCAAAAAAAAATTTGCTCCAATTCGCTTTTACCTTCGAAAATTCTCAAATATCAAAATTTTATTTTGGTGTATGATTTTAGTCATCTTGAAAAACAGTAATATTTGAAATGTTTCAAAAATATTTTAAAATAAAAAAATGAAAATCTTTTACCAAAATTTTATTTAAACAGGTGAAAATTAGAGGTGAATCCCCTAAAATGTACTTATTTGGAGATTAGTCTTGCAAAGAAACTTATAAGGGGTTAAATCCATATTTGAAATTATATATAATGACTTAAGTCCACTTTTTTTTTTATCTTAAAAATACCCTTCTTTAAAAGGAAGTTAATCTTTTATCTGTCATATCTATCTATATCTATGTATAGGTTAAGAGTTTGACTAACATTAAAATTTTTCCTCTCTCTTATCTATATATATAGTAACATTAAAAAAAATAGTAACATTCAAATACAGAAAAAAAAAATTACTATGAATTTGAATAGTAAATTTCAAATTCATGTTACTACTTTTGTTAAGTATGTTACGGTTCATGTATTATTATTTTTGAGCATGTTACTATTTTTGTTGACCGTGTTACTGTTATTATTTTTTTAAATATTAATATTCAATGTTATTATTTATTTTTTTGAATATTACTATTTTTTGCGTTTGAATTTGAGAGAAATAATTATTGTTAAGTATGTTACATTTTTGTTAAGCATATTACTGTTTTTGTTGAATATGTTAATATTTTTGTTGAACATGTTACTGTTGTTATTTTTTAAAAATATTAATATTGAATGTTTCAATTTTTTTTTATGTTTAAATGTTACTATTTTTTTGTGTTTAAATATATTATTTTTTGTGTTCAAATGATAATTTTTTTTTGTATTTGAATGTACTATTTTTTATTTTTATTGTTACTATATATATACATATATATAACCTATATATAGATAGAAAAGAGAGAGGAAAAATTTTAATGTTAGTCAAACTCTTAACCTATATATAGATATAGATAGATATGAGAGAAAAGATTTTAGTTTTATTTTACTTCTAAAGGGAAGGATAGTATGGTAAAATTGACAAAAAAACAGACTTCATAAAAAATAAGTTTCTTTGACGGACTTAAATCCAAACAAGTCTATATAGGAAGACCGGCCTCCAAATTTCTCTTAAAACACTTCAAAACATCTCAAATCATAAAATTTTGATATTGGATTTGCGGAAGAAAGTCTGGTCCAGCCCATTTCCAAGCCCTATTCACGACAGGTCCACTAACAATCATATGCTCCATTTGTCCATCTACAAAACAAAAGTAAAGCCCAAAAATCATGAGGCAAAATTCTTTTGTATACACTTTGTGGAAGATATAGATAGGTCTAATAATCGAACCGAAGTGCTTGAACTCAGTTAGGGTTCAACTCGTTTTGGGTTCAGTTCAAATGAATCGAGTTTAAATAATTTTTTAGACTAGTTTAAAAAAACGAGCCAAAAGGCTCAGTTCGAGCTCGACTTGTTTATATGTAAAATAATCAAACTACTCTAACTCAACTCGGCTCGAGCTCGACCTTTTTTTTAAATGAATCAAGTTTAAACAATTATTTAAACCTATTTAAAAAAAATGAGATTGATAAATTTGATTTAAACTCACAAAATTCGACTCAATTATCACCGAAGAAGAGAAAAAAGAAATTGACGATATGACAATTTTGGATTCTGCAATTGCAAGTCAAGAAAGCATTGAAATGCATGTGGGGCTACTCCTGCCTTCGTCCACAAGGGTCTGCATTCATTCCATTTCCACAGAAGGGTGCTCCAGTTACATTGCAGAGACATTAAGTACATGTGTTCAACAACAATAGGGAGAGAGAAAGAGGGGAAGGTGGGTTGTAAATGTATAGTATCTGTTTGAAATTCAGATATCAATGTAAGATAATGCTAGTTAGATCTAATTCAGAGACCTGATTTAGGGATCTAATACATAATAGACATTAGAATAATAGTAGACTTTATTTAACTAGTGATTCATTGATAATCTAATAGTTATAATGAATTAATTTTTTAAATTATGTCTGAATAGCATTAATCGTCATCATCATGACTATATGACTAAAAGAAAATGAATGATTTCCTTTTGTCGCTCCTTTATCAGTAAATGTTCTCTCAACAGTTGAGAATCAATAAGCAAATTCATGATCATTTGTCAGTATGTAGGATTAAAAAGAGACTATTGTGAAAATCACTTTAACACTTACTGCTACAAACGTTAAAAAGAGCTCAATTCATGATTGATAAGACATAAGGTTGATAGTTTTAGTATCTCTATCTGATTGAAGGTGAGATTAACGGTTGACCTAATAATCACCGCTTTCGTTATCGTCGCCCCCCTCCCTACAATCCTGATTGACCAAGAAAAACTAATTTAAGGTGAATTGCATAGAAACAACAGTTCAACTACTGGCGTGTACTCTCTAGTGCTATTCTCTTCTCCTAAACATAGGAAAAGGAGGAAGAAAATCATAAAGGACTGCACTATTGTCCAACTTTTCTAGGGTTAAGGTTCATCCCACAAAATTGCTACAATGGAGTTTAGAAATAGTCAGATGTATAGATTATTGTGTTCAAACGCAGAAATAACTATTTATATGACTTGAACATAACACCTGAAAGTGTTTGGAGAAATATAAAAATGGATTTTGGTATTCAATAACCAAACCGTATTGCTATACACAGTTATAAAATGATACAAAGTACATAAAGATTATACAAAATCTGAATAGCAAATATTAAGATATATAATACAAAATCTAAACTAATGATGTTTATCATGTGGAGGTAAATCAGGTGGATGATCAAGTAGCTCAACAGAAGATAGAGCAGCAGATGGATATGGATTATCTTGAGAAGTCGAAGTTGTAGGAGAATTTGTAAGAGGAAGCTTATCACTCCCCCGCAAGCTGATGGGAGGCAGCAAGACCATCAGTTTGGCACGGAGCTGAGCAAAGCGAACCATAGTGAGACCTTTAGTAAAGACATCGGCAATTTGATATGCTGTGTTAATATACTTAATAACAATGTCTCCATTAAGCACTTTCTCACAAATAAAATGATAGTCAACCTCAACATGCTTGGTTCGAGCATGAAAGACTGGATTGGATGCCAATGAGATGGCGCTTACATTATCACGCCACAATGTAGGAGGTG